TATAAAACTGTTAAAGATTGTTAAGCCTTAGAGCTTTTAAGCATAAATTCTTCTTTCATCAGATATAATTTTTTAGAAAAAATATTTTTAAAAACTAGTTTCATTTACAGAAAACTCGATTTTCGGAGGTCTTAAAATAAAATACAGTACAATTTTTTTTATGAAGAGTGATGCGCCTTTATGCGCGCATAATCTTAACTTATATGTAGAAGAAATACAAAAATTATAATAAGCCTCTCTAAAATAATGAACTAAAAAATCTGATGTATTGTGGAACGATTTTCTGTCATCCCCTATCAGATTTTGAGCCGAATTCAGAGTTATTTTTCACTCTCTAAAATGTATTGAAGCTTTCAAAAAATTAAGAAACTCTACGCTCCAAGCTCATTTTTCAAGCGCTGTCCCGCCACTAGCTCAATGAAAACCGTGTACCCTTATATCGAAGTTCATAAAGTCTAGCAAATATTTACAAAATTCTGCAATCGTTTATCTGCTTAGTGGAATGCTTTAACAAATTCTCATTATCTAATCATCACTCCTCTTGCAGGTCAAATATTTCCGATAATATTTATGTATTGTAAATTTTTACCATTTACCATATTTTTGTTTACAAATTTTTAGAATGAAACTCGATGCATCGGTCAGTCGATATGCGTGTCAGTGTGTGCGTGCAAAGCTTAAAACAAAAACTAAATATTTACTATTCTCAACTATTTTCTAACATATTTTGTGTTCTTGTTCCAATTGTCTTTGGCTAAATGTAGAATACCAACAGCAGCCAGCAGCTACGACTACTGCAGCAGCAACAAATATCAACTACAGCCTAATCGGTGGCAGCAACAGCAGCGGCATCGGCAGCAAAGCCAACAGCAACTGCGATAACAACAACAACAACAACAACAACAACAGCTACAATATACTAGACGGCGACGAATTTGAGGATTTTGAATTTGACATGGAAATGCTTGCAGATAGCAGCAGTAACGTAGAAATGTTCATTACGAACAACAGCAACAACACCAGTACCACCAACAACACCATCAACAACATAAGTAACGAGATGAATTATATCAACGACACATTTACCGGCTGCAGCAGTAACAACATCAATACTAACAACATCACCAANCAACAACAACAACAACAACAGCTACAATATACTAGACGGCGACGAATTTGAGGATTTTGAATTTGACATGGAAATGCTTGCAGATAGCAGCAGTAACGTAGAAATGTTCATTACGAACAACAGCAACAACAGCAACAATACCAGTACCACCAACAACACCATCAACAACATAAGTAACGAGATGAATTATATCAACGACACATTTACCGGCTGCAGCAGTAACAACATCAATACTAACAACATCAGCAACAATAAAAATAACAACAATATGTGTTACAATACCAATTTGATCAAAAGTGAATATGTAGAAGATCTATCCCAACAATATCTCGTTTCGTGCGATCTCCTAAATTTGGAGGAATGGCAGCCAAGCCAAGATTCTACATTGAATATCGATTCTATGCCAGATTTGCCCGACATCAGCGAAAACGCAGTCGATTTCAATAACTGCAAAGAACTGGACGACATTTTGCTTAGCTCACAAAATCCTATGTTCGCATGTGCTTCTGTATGCAGTAGCAATAATGTGAGCAATAGCCAACAAATGCAATTTAATTTCATCGACAACTCGGAGCCTTTCGTTCCGAAAATTGAAGACGATGACATCTTTTGTGAGGGCGACAACACGTTCGTAGCAGTCACGGAACCGGTGGCAATGGCAGTAGCACCCGTTAGTCTACCATCAGTATCAACATTAAAACACAGCACCAGATTGCGTAATAAGCGTCTGAAGGTGCATCTACCAACTGTGCCAGCAGAAGATCCACTCTCCACGCCAATTGTGCTCGGTGGCATTGTAGATCTGCAGGTATGTTATTAGAGGGTGCGCTGTTCACTGCTATAAAAACTTAACTAACAATAAAATAGACTGACTTCGGGTATCGTGTTTCGGGTTTTCATTTTCGCGCTTACGCATTGCATCATGCTTTTGCCTAACGATTGTGTGAGCATTTCTGTATTGGCGCCGGTCAGTTAGTAGCTCAATAACTCGCAGCTATCTATGTACATTCGGTGTGCAGCAGGCAATTTCACAACCAATCGTCGGCAGATGTATCGTAGCGTCTCCTTAGTAATATTATTATTTTTTTTATTTGATAAATACACACATGCATAGCTACATACAATATATGTAAGTACATAACTAACCAACCTCTTTTACTATCTCTATTTTCAGGATGAAAAAATGGATATTGAGTCTTCTATTTATCTGGGAAATTCCGTTGTTAATATTGGAGATATTGTAGAGTCTTTGAAGGATCATACCAGTCCGTACACATACACCGATGAGGAATCACCATCGACACCGCAAAGCAGTTACTCTTTTACAACAAGCACAACTCCCTACTCACCCGCGCCATCCAACATCTCGTTCAACCAACAGACGAATAGTAATAAAAGGAAACGTGGCCGTCCCGCTAAGGAGCACAGCGATCAACCAGATCCAGCGCAATTAGAAAGTATGCCAGATTTGGACCGCAAGAAACTACTCGATCGTGCAAAGAACAACGAGGCCAGCCGGGTTTCACGTAGAAAGAACAAAGAACGCGAAGAGCAGGAAAAAGCAACAGAGCGTAAGCTGTTGGAGCGAAATTTGATGCTACGAACGCGACGAAAGGAGTTGGTTAAGATGGAGAAAAAACTAAAACGTGCTCTCATGCGAGCCGCACCTTTTGCACTGTAGTTGGAATGGAGGGATCCATGAGAACTAGAATTACCAGAGATCTATTCATTTATTACATTTGTTGATTATTGGGTACCTAAGCTGCATATACTTATGTATTTATGTAGTAATTAAAAAAATTTACATTAAAAGTTATCATAAGCAGCCAAACGTTGATATAGAAATATATATGTAGGTACAGATGTACATCTATACATAAATGCGTACTTTAAGGTGTAATTGTTAAGTTGTTCAAATTATTATCACATTGTGATTGCATGTGAGAAAACTCTCCATCATTATGTGGGGAGACTTATATTTTTTAATCCCTAAAATTAATATTTTTGTATTTTATATGATACAACTGTTCTTAAGTTTATGTGAAAATATAATAATCTACAAATTAGTTTACAAAACTTAAACATATAAAATAGTCTTAAANTTTATATGATACAACTGTTCTTAAGTTTATGTGAAAATATAATAATCTACAAATTAGTTTACAAAACTTAAACATATAAAATAGTCTTAAACAGATGAAATAAAAAATAGGTCGTTGGGTTGGTAAACAAAACGATCATAAAACAAACAAAAATTCAAATATGTATTTCTCTTTGCCTGTGGAACAAATTGAGGATAAGTGCACACTGAGTCAACAAGCACATTTTTTGCTCCCAAACAGTTAAAGAAGCAGCGAGTACTACGTAAGAGGTAAAACCATTCTCAGGGGACAGGGGGGAAAGAACTAACTAAAGTACTAATTTCTATATTCTTTCATTTCCGTTAATTTAAATTCAGTTGAGTTTGACACTTTTCAGGATTTTGTCAGAAAAAATTCTTCTGACTAAATTTGACTACTTCGGACTGAAGAGAGTCACTCTCACTGAGTGTTGCTCTCTCATTTTTGTTGTCATTTAAGGTTAAGGGACGATTTTTGGACTAAATCTGACTACTTCGGACTATTTCTGGGAGATAAGCAACGCAACTAATAAAACAAAGAACCACGAATACAAACAAAGCAAAAACTACAACAAAAATTATTGCATTATAAAAAAAAAAACGAAATTTCACTGTCACGGGTGCGGCACGTACAAATTTGTGTATGAAAAGGAAGGAGCTTTTAGTGTGGTCCATATTAAAGATTAGTTATTAAAAAATATAAGGAGGCAAATAGGGGTTGAATGACTATGATGAGGTACGAATAGCGATAACGCGGCTGAAAAACAACAAAGTTGCTAGAGCTATTCAAGTATGGCGGCGAGGAGCTGATGAGGTGCATACATCAGCTCTTATGCAGAATATGGCCCGATGACAAGAATTTAAGTGTGCTCTGCTCAATCCAGAAGAAAGGCGACCCCGCTACTCGCGCAATCAGCCTTCTAAGGATAGGTTATAAGGTCTTATCGAGTGTATTGTGCGTAAGACTGAAGCCCACCGTCAACGAACTGATTGGTCACCCATAAGCAGTGTGGCTTTAGGCCTGGCAAATCCACCATAGATCAGGTATTCACAATACGCCAAATCTTCGAAAAGACCCGCGAGAATGGGATCGACACACACCATCTATTTGTCGATTTCAAAGTCGCCTTCGACAGCACGAAGAGAAGTTGCCTTTATGCCGCGATGTCTGAATTTGGTATCGCCGCGATGTCTGAATTTGGTATCCCCGCGAAACTAATACGGCTCCCTTTCGTGTGATTCCTTTAATCTGATGTTGGATAAGATAATAAGAGCCGCAGAACTGAACCGCTCAGGCACAATCCTTTATAAGAGCATACAATTGCTGGCGTATGCCGACGACATCGATATTATCGGTAAAAACAAAGGCTACGTCTGTTCTGCCTTCTCGGGATTGGATAGAGAAGTAAAGCGATTGGGTCTGGTGGTGAACTAGGACAAAACGAAGTATCTCCTGTCATCACACAAACAGTCAGAGCATACGCGTCTTGCCACCGACGTCACAGTTGACAGTTACAAGTTTGAAAAAGTAGACGACTTCGTTTATTTGGGAACCAGCATTGTCAGCCTTGAAATCCAACGGAGTATCACTCTTGCCAACAAGTGCTACTTTGGACTGAGTAGGCAATTGAGATGTAAAGTCCTCTCTGTGCTGGTATATGGAGCAGAAGCATGGACATTGACAACATCCGCTGAGGCGGTTCTTGGAGTTTTCGAGAGAAAGATTCTGGCGAAAAATTTACGGACCTTTACGCGTTGGCGATGGCGAATACCGCAGACTATTTAACGATGAGCTGTATGAGCTTGACAACAATATAGACATAGTGAAGCGAATTGAAATGCAGCGGTTCCGCTGCCTTGGTCATGTTGTTCGAATGGACAGAAACGCCCCTGTTCTGAAAGGCCTCCTCTGCGTTGGAAAGACCAGGTGGAGAAGGACAATGGCTTCACTTGGCATTTCCAATTGGCACAGAAGAGAAATGACTGGCATGCTGCTTTGGACCCGGCCAAAATCGCTTAAGCGGTTACAGCGCCAATAAAGAAGAAGAAGAAAAAGAAATAGGGGTTCAATTCACTCACGTTTTATTTTAGGATAGTGCATTTCATTACAAATCAACGCGATTTCCTAGCGTCTTGAAATTTTCACTTTTAGCTTTTTAAATAAAACTGTATACCTAGAAAAAAATTATGAACAAAAAGTTTAAAACTTTTGTATGTAATTGTTGAATTTTCATAATTTTTGTACAAAGTTTGAAATGAGGATTTAGTAGTTCTGGTTATGTAATATGCAATACTTTATACATGGAAAACTTCATAAGCTCTGAAGCATTTCTAGATACCATTTCTTTTTATTCCATTTACAAAAATCCTACTTACATTTTTACAAAAGCCCATATTTCGACACCTAGCTAAGTAAAGCTCTTTATTAACGAAAACCCTGTAAGTGCCAGTTTCAAACTTTGTACAAAAGATAGGGAAATTTGACAAAGTTTCATCACGATTTCGAGCTTTTTAATTGGATTTCTAAGGGACGTTTTCTCATGTCGGTTTTAAAATTAATCTGCCCTTCCAACATATTTTTTCAGAACAAAATTTGTGTTTAAAGGGCTGATAAATTTTAAAACCTACATGAGAAAACGGTTCTTAGAAACATTTTGAGTATGCAGTTTTGTAGACCATTCAATTTTAGTTTTAAGGTGCATGCTTGAAATAACTAGGATGATTTTTGGCAATTTTTTTTTTTTGATGCTGTTGCTTCAATACGAACTTAGACCAGGAAGTTAAGAGAAATTGCATTATAAATACAATTGTTTTTAATTTTGTTCTTTATTTAAAAAAAAAACTTATTTTTGTATGTGTGTTATAAGTGGAATTATGGACTTTTTCGATTAGAGGCTTTACTAAAATAAGAATCGGTTAGCAGTAGAAGAAAATGCTCAACATTGTCAGCAAATACAAAACATCGACGAGAATTTTTAGCAACTTTAAATTTGCACTTAATTCTACTAAAATTTAATGGGCGTAAGACCGCACACGAAAATTTTATGTCAAACAAAGGGATTAAAAAGTTGAAATTTTGTATGTAAATTTGTTGAATTTTTTCTCAATTTTCTCCAAAGTTTGAAATTTTGATTTACATGGTTTTTGTTGTAATACTAATACTTTCCACCATAGTTATTTTTTTTCGAAAATTTTCACACAGCCATTGTTAATGGTACTAAAACATATTTATGTGCATAGGTAGTAATAAAGTATAAAAT